CATTACCGACATTTCATATCACCCCTACAAGGAGCAGACAGAGGGGAGAGCCAATACTCCATGAGGTAGTTCCACAAATCCTCCCGACCTTCCTCCACACACCTACCTCCCTCCACCCACCTACCTCCCCACCTCCCTCCACACACCTACCTCCCGACCTTCCTCCACACACCTACCTCCCGACCTTCCTCCACACACCTACCTCCCGACCTTCCTCCACACACCTACCTCCCGACCTTCCTCCACACACCTACCTCCCGACCTTCCTCCACACACCTACCTCCCGACCTTCCTCCACACACCTACCTCCCGACCTTCCTCCACACACCTACCTCCCGACCTTCCTCCACACACCTACCTCCCGACCTTCCTCCACACACCTACCTCCCGACCTTCCTCCACACACCTACCTCCCGACCTTCCTCCACACACCTACCTCCCGACCTTCCTCCACACACCTACCTCCCGACCTTCCTCCACACACCTACCTCCCGACCTTCCTCCACACACCTACCTCCCGACCTTCCTCCACACACCTACCTCCCGACCTTCCTCCACACACCTACCTCCCGACCTTCCTCCACACACCTACCTCCCGACCTTCCTCCACACACCTACCTCCCGACCTTCCTCCACACACCTACCTACTACTTCCCGACCTCCTCCACACACCTACCTACTACCTCCTGACCTCCTCCATACACATACCTACAACCAATCAGCCTTTTGTTAGGTTATATTCTCACCTCTGTTCTACAGGTCACCCCCTTCATCCCCATTGAAGGTGCATTTTGCCAGAAACACCAAAATATGCAGAAAGCTGGATTTAAGTGGCATGAAAATTCCGAGGTATGAATGCGGCCTTAGACGAGGTGCAGCACCCAGGGGAAGGGGGAACGTTACGAAGAATCCCTCTTCTAAAGCTGGTCTACAGACACTTCAGACCAAATCAGATTCAGCAACAAAAATAAATACATTTACAGGCAGAAAACCACTCGGAGGTCGAGAATGTCAAATGAATCTAGAAATTGAGGGTCGCATAGCTGGCACTAGTTGCAGGTAAATCTATTTTATTATTTAATAACCCGCCATCGCCCCCCTACATACCTCTCAAACAGCCGCGCCAATATGTGCAGGGCCCACTTCTTACACTTCCACCAGGGAAGTTCCGGTCGGTCATCCTCATCAACCTGGAGTGTCTCCTGCCATGACAAAACAAAGCGCGTCCTGAGTGCACAGCGGGATGGACGGGCGGCAATCGCCAACATTGACGGTACAGTTTTAGAGGCGGAGCTACAGAATCAGGTGACTAACGTAAAAATCATCTGACAAAGTCTATACATTATGCCATCATTCTACACTTCTATGGCTCTGACATATTCTGCAGTGCTGTACAGAGAACACCGAGCCATTCATGTCAGCATTTGCACCAGAGGAGCTGACACTCTAATGCTCCAGACTTATTGCTCAAAAGGGCTCAACCCAGATGGATCCTGTACTTCCTGATGTGTGTGGGATTCCCTTGACAAGCCAAAACAGATTAGTTGGTGTGTGTGATCATCATGTGAGCTGAATGCAAGGATCCGCTATGCAAAATATTATGTCAACATTCTCACCAGCACTGCGGCCTAGAATGGGAGGTCACCAGCACTGCGGCCTAGAATGGGAGGTCACCAGCACTGCGGCCTAGAATGGGAGGTCACCAGCACTGCGGCCTAGAATGGGAGGTCACCAGCACTCGATATTGTGCAAGCATAAGAACTTTTAATAATGCGTCAAAGCCAACGTTTCGGGGGCCACGCAGGGTCCCTTCCTTAAGGCAACATAATCAGGTCACCGACGCCCTGAGGAAGGGACTCTGCGTGGCCCCGGCTTTATGACGCATTAATAAAAGTGCTTGTGCTTCTTGCACAATATCGAGTGCTGGTGACCTCCATTGTCGATTACATTGTGGCACGGCGCCATCCGTGTTGTCACTTCAAGCACCGACATCTGTATCAATGGTCTGTACGCTGTATAGAGTGCAGGTGACTAACACTTGATGATGAACTCTCTGCTTTGTAACATGTCGCAGATTATGCCCAAGAAACACTTATTTTGGTGAAGGGAAAGCAGAAAACTTACTGCAGGAACATCCCGATCCACCACGCTCTTCAGAATTTCAATCCACTCGGCCAGGCTGGGCTGATTGATGAGCTCCAGGGGTAATGTGTACTGCAAGGTTAAACAAGAATTTAATCATCAGGAGCAGTAAAGCATCTGAATCACCGCAGATTTCTTCATCGTTTACCAAAATATCAGTCCACCCAAAAAGACTAAAACGTCACGCCGTGTTGCTTTGGGTGTAATAATTTAAAGGAGAACAACGATGCCGGTATGTGTTCGCTCACTTCCCAATCTACTGAGCCGACCTGTGACAGGCCAGCTCAGATTATGAGGATGAGTGAAAATCACTCTCATAGTTCTCCTTTAAACAAGTCCCTATGCCCATTCAAGACATAGACAGGTCCTCCTAATACCCCCATCAACCCCTTTTGCTTATATCCACCTTTGCCACAGTCTGCTGGAGCACTTGGAAAGGCCGGGTACTTCTAGGTATATGGGGGGGGGGGGGGGGGGGGGGAGCCCACCCCCCTT